AGTTTCCCGGCGTGGTGCAGTGGCTCACACCTATAATCCCAGAGTTTTGGAAGGCCAAGGCGGACAGGTCGCGAGGTCAGGAGTTTGAGACCAGTCTGGCCAACATGCTGAAACCCCACCTCTCCCAAAAATGCAAAAATTAGTTGGGTGTGGCCAGGTGTGGTGGCTTACGCTTGTAATCCCAGCACTTTGGCAGATGACCTGAGGTCGGGAGTTTGAAACCAGCCTGGCCAACCCTCTCTCTGCTAAAAATACAAAAATTAGGCGGGGCACTGTGGTTCATGCCTGTAATCCCAGCACTTCGTGAGGGCAGGGTGGGCGGATCACAAGGTCAGAAGATTGAGACCATCCTGGACAACTTGGTGAAACCCCATCACTAAAATACACACACACACAAAAAGCCGGGCATGGTGGTGTGGGCCTCAGTCCCAGCTGTTCCAGAGGCTGAGGCAGGGAAATTGCTTGAACTCGGGAGGTGGAGGTTGTAGTGAGCCGAGATTACACCACCGCACTCCAGCCTGGAGACAGAGGGAGACCGTCTAGTTGAACATGGGGGCAGCACCTGTAATCCCAGCTACTGGGGAGGCTGAGGCAGGAGAATCGTTGGGCAGAGATCGAGCCACTGCCCTCTAGTCTGGACAACGAGCCAGACCACAGGGGGGGAAAAAAGTGTCCTGGCACAGGCTCTCTGACGGCCGCCATCCCTGCAAGATGCGACTTGCTCCTTGCCTTCCACCATGTATTTTTGAGGCCTCCCCAATTACATGGAACTGCGAGTCCATTAAACATCTCTCTCGTAAATTGCCCAGTTTCAGCTGTGTCTTTATCAGCAGCGTGAAAACTAAAACAGGTGCCTTGTAACTAGAGGCAGCACCGGGGCCGGCCACCTGTGACAAGGGATGCCAGCCCCACCTGGGTCAAATCCCCAGCCCCGGGCCCTTCCCTAGAAAAGGAGGCTCCCTTGGGAAAGGCACTTAACCCGGCCGGTGGCTGGTGCACCTGGAGCCTCAAACGGGCATCAGCCCCATGTTCACATTGCTGGTTTCCGAGTATGGGGTAGGCGCCTCAAAAGGCACTGCCTTGTGTGTGTGTTTGCGGGAGGTTAAAGGAAAACGAATAGCTCAGAGGTGTGGACTCCCTAGCAGACAAAATCCGCAATGTGTACACAACTAGGTCATGGCACCTGTGCCCATGGGTGCCACACCAGCCTCTGGGGCTGCTCGGGCACCCACACACTCACCTCCGGCCCCATCTTCCGCTGCCTCTGGGAGGGGGTAGACCATCCCCTCGCCTGCCTCCAGATACTGCACCTGGACGACCACCTCGGCCCGCTGATTGGATGGCTCGTCCTGCAAGGGCAGACCAGAAGTTAGGGAGAGGCCCGGGCTCCATGTTCCGTGTTGTAAATGAACAAGCACACACAGCCCCTAACAGCTACTGCCACCTGCTGCTGCCCAGGCTGTGACCACACCGGCCGTTCCCAGAAGGGGAAAGTCCGCTCTTCTCAAGAGCTGTCTCCTCTCCCCAACCCATCTGGGGTTTCTCCTGAGAGCTCCTTCAATAGCAGCACGGGACGGGAAGGCTGCACTCAGCATAGACATTGTCAGAGCTTCAGACGCCGCTGTCCTGAGGCTGCACCCCAGGTGGTCTGTCCTCAGCCAGGAGGAAACTGCAGCTTCTAACACCCAGAGATACTGGAAGGTGGATTAAAAAATCCAATAGCTAGGCTGGGCACAGTGACTCAAACCTGTAATCCCAGCACTTTGGGAGGCCAAGGAGGGGGTATCACTTGAGGTCAGGAGTTCAAGACCAGCCTGGCCAACAAAGTGAAACCCTTTCTCTACTAAAAGAAAAATTAGCTGGGTGGAGTGGTGAGAGCCTGTAGTCCCAGGTACTCAGGAGGCTGAGGTAAGAGATCACGCCACTGCACTCCAGCCTGGGCGACAGGGCAATACTCCATCTCCAAAAAACAAAACGAAACAAAAAAATACGAGGACCTGAAATCAGGAGAAGGGATGGAGATGTCGCTAAGAAATTAAAGTAACTCCAAGAGGCTGGGTGCAGTGGTTCACGCCTGTAATCCCAGCACTTTGGGAGGTGAAGGCAGGAGGATCCCTTGAGCCCAGGAGTTCATCATGAGCCTGGACAACACAGTGAGACCCGGTCTCTCCAAAGAAATAAATAAATCACAAAAATTGGCCAGGTGTGGTAGTGCAGCACACCTGTGGTCCCAGCTACTTGAGAAGCTGGACCAGGAGGATCACCTGAGCCCAGGAGTTGGGAGGCTGCAGTGAGCCGTGACGGCACCATCGCGCTACGGCCTGGGCCACAGAGCAAAACCAGTTTCAAAGAAGCTCAAGAAAGAAAATAAACAGAACTCGTAAAAAGGAAAATCTGAATCGGGGAACTGATGCCACAGCAGAGTGCAGTGGTGGCTCTGGAGGGCTGTGGACACCTGGGCCAGTGTAGAGCTTGTGGCTGCAGGCAGCACCGGGGTGGGCTACGGGGAAGGGGGCTGTGGCTCCAGGATGAGGCCTGATGCCAGCTCCTATGGAGAACGGAGGGACCAACGCAGGGCCTTTGCACCTCCGCTAGAGTCAATGCAGACCTCGCCCAGTTCTTAAAGACACAAAAAGACACAGGCCTCCAAGCTATCTTCTTGTGGTTCCTTGGGCCTCATCCCACAACCAGTGTCCCCAGGAGTGCGCCCCCGCCCCGCCCCCGCATGGACAGCCCTGGTCAGGCCCACACCCTCACCTGGCACTCAGGGGTCTCCTCCAACTCATCCTCGAAGACCAGGCCATAGTGCACGATGAGGGTCTCGATGACACGGGCCTGGTGGGGGTAGTCCACCAGGGAAGAGAGGGACACGGTGGCCTCAGTGGGCCGTGGCCGGAGCAGTGTGGGCCCGAACACGATGCCCAGGTTCCCGGGGGTCATCTTGTTCTCCTGCTCCACCTCCACGATCCTGCAGGGCGGGCAGGGCCAGGTGCTGAGCAGCTCCCGGGACCCCGCACCCTCCACCCCGTGCGCCGAGCCTCACCTGCGTAGGTGCCGCAGCAGGTACTGCAGCGAGGCCCGGTTATCCGGCGGCAGGTCCCGCAGGAGCTCCCGCAACCGACCTGCCATGGCCACCACCGCTGCGTCGCTCTCCGAGCCATCCTGCCGGCCCCGGGTCGCCGCCTTGGCCTCGGCCTCCGCCTTCAGGCTGTCCTTGGCCAGCCCCACGAGCTCGTGGTAGAAGCGGAAAGAGATGAGCGGCTCCGGCAGCTGCGAGGAGCCAAGGGGCAGCTGGGGTTCACAGGCTGGCCCAGCCCTCCCGTGTGCCAGCCACGCTCCCACCCCAGCCCCACCCCCACCAAACACTGACAACGCTCCACGGAGCACAGGGTCCAGCCACGGCAGTGGGTGCCACGGCAGTGGGTGCCACGGCAGTGGGAGCCACGGCAGTGGGAGCCACGGCAGTGGGTGCCACGGCAGTGGGTGCCACGGCAGTGGGTGCCACGCAGTGCAGCGTCTGTCCCCCGTCCCAACCAGCATAAGTTCTGGCGCTCCTACCCGGGCCAAGCCCCATCCTAGCCCTTTCCTCGCACTGCCCACGCCCACCCTGCGCTGACGGTATCCCAACTAGCTCGTGCTCTATTCAGCATCGTCTGACCCTTTCCCCACCACCTGCGAAGTGCTGGTCCCGCTCCCAGCCCC